TCTGAACATGATTTAAAAAATGGATATTAACTAAAAGAACAAGAAAAGATGACTTTAATCTACTCAGACTAGTTCTGGGATTTCTAGTTTGTATACTAAAAAAAACTGAGGCATATATTAGAAAAGATACAAAAATAAGAAGAGAGAAAACTTACATTTGCAGAATTTCAAATGGCATCTCACCCTGAAAACACAAGACTAAAGCCCTAGTATTATAAAATTACTACTGAATCAGACTGTAGGAAGACAAACAGCATAGCACCTGTCAGTATGTCCGGCAAACACACTTCACCTTATGGCTAGTGTCCTTGGTAGGCTAATGAAGGAGACAGAAGGCTAGCATCAGTGATCGACAATGCATGGAAGAAATACCAAGTTTTGACACAGGCAGCCTGGAGAAGTGGCCAGGTTAAAGGAAACAGCTGGTTCTACCTCCGCACTCTGAGCATTAACTATAGGGAGTGAAGCTGTCTGGCATGTCCAACTCTTCCCTTTCCCACTCACTTTCTCCCTTTTCTCTACCAGGGCAGAGGTCGGAATTCAAAAATGCATGCAGAATCTAACATCATTACAGATAAAACCTTCATGTCTTGTGCCCATATATATAGCATGCTTTTTGCTTCATGTTTACTTCACATGGAAATCTGCCCAGCTACATATTCACCTATCTACTATCGTCTAAAACCAAAAACCTTACTAAAACAAGAGACTTTGCCAATTGTGCAGTTAAATGAAAGAATTTACACCACACAGAACATGCTATTTCCAGCAGGCAAGCCATTCCCAAGTGGCTCTTTCCAACAGTGCCACCAGGCAGGAGCAGCCAGACCCCAGCGTTGGCCATGTCTACAGCAGGTCTGCAAGCTGAGGTGGTGAGGTTGCCCCAGAGCCCACGTTGTCCTTGCTGCCCTGCCCTGACTGTACCGCAGGCCATCTCCTCCCTTGTATTATTGTTCATTGTTACCAGTTTTATTTCACAAAACTTAAAAACTGTCACACAACCACTTTTGCCCCTTCTTGAAGTTTTTTTGCAATAAAGCCAAGCTCTTCACAAAGAAGACAGCTAGTACTATTGCCCAGAAGATAGAATAATTGGAATAATTTTATCTCATTTACATAAACAAAAACCAATTGTTTCTACACAATAACATTGATTTGTTAGAAAATACAAAGAGAAAAATGTTTTCTCACATGGTAACCAAGACAATAACAAAAATAATTGCAGTAAAAATTTTGTACAATATAAATGAAAAGAATCACAAGCTTTTATTGAGGTTGCAAAAGGCACTAAATGTTGAGAGATGCACATGGTCTAGGGTAGAAGACCTTAAAGGATGAAGAGGGAAATGTCTGAGAACATCTGATGCTAGGAAATTCCACACAGTTCCTTATGTGGATCTTAGACTCTTAAACTCTCCAAACTAGTAACTAGAATAATGTACCATAGAGAGGAAGACCCGTGAGTAAACAACAGACTCCAAAGCCATCGAGTAAAACAGCCGTAAAACATGAACTTTTTGCATGGCAAAGAAAGGGAAGCTAGGGGCTGGAGCGATGGATCAGAGGTTAGAGCACTGGCTGCTCTTACAAAGGACCCAGGTTCAGTTCCCAGCACCCATGTGCATCTCACAACTGGTTCCAGGGGACCCAGTGCCCTCTCTGACCTCCAAGGGCATTGCACACACATGGTACACTTACATGGAGACAAAACACTTATGCACACGTAAAGTAAATACTGAACAATTTTTTGAAAAAGGGAAACTATGGGAAAATAAGAAAATATAAAAGTGAATGATAAGATATTGTCACATATCAAGCAGAAAGGGTGGATTATGTTGGTAAAGTGTTTTGTTTTTTTCTTATTAAACTTGTTTCAAAGGGTCTCAAATTCTGTGACAGATTTTTGGTCAAGTTGTTTACATTAAAAAGTCCTTATTTTAGGGGCTGGAGAGATGACTCAGTGGTTAAGAGCACTGGCTGCTTTTCCAGAGGACCTGGATTTGATTCCAGCACCAACATGGCAGCTAACAACCATCTGTACCTCCAGTTCCAGGGGATCTGACGCTCTTTTCTGGTCTCTTCAGGCTTTAAACAACATGGGTGCACTTACATACATGCAGGCAAAACACTCATACAAAAATAAATAATTTTTTAAAATATTGATTTTAAAAACTAATAAAACTGCTACATACAAAAAAAAAGCCCACAAAAAACCCCACAAAATCCTTTCCTTCTGAAGTTTTTATGATGCTTTGATACCATTAACCAGTCTTTTACTATTAAACTTAAATGGCTAATTGAGACAAACAGTTGTGAGACCACTATCCCATTGAGTAAGGGGGGGGTGGGGGATGACATGACACCACGACCATGACCACGACCACGACCACGACAACATAGGGAACTGGGATGGGGATGGGGATGGAAGGGATAATGGGCTAATACTCACTTAGCCTTCTGAGCTTTTGGGGAAGTCTTGGTGACCTTGCCAGCTCCAGCAGCCTTCTTGTCCATGGCTTTGACGACACCCACAGCAACTGTGCATCATATCACAAACAGCAAAACAACCCAGAGAAGGATAATAAGAGATGCTGTCAACACACATGGGCTTGCCTGGAACCATATCAACAATGGCTGCATCACCAGATTTCAAGAATTCAGGGCCATCTTCCAGCTTCTTACCAGAACTGTGATCAATCTTTAAGCCCAGTGAACTTACAAGCTATGTGAACTGTGTGACAGTCCAGCTCAGGGGCACGGCCAGCACTAAGTTAGCCTAGGTGGTTCAGGATAGTCACCTGAGCAGTGAAGCCAGCTGCTTCCATTGGTGGGTCATTTTTGCCGTCACCAGCAACGTTGCCATGTCGAACGTCTTTGACAGACATATTCTTTACATTTAAGCCCACATTGTCCTAAGGAAGAGCTTCATTCAAAGCCTCATGATGCATTTCAACCAGAAATTGGCACAAATGCTACTCTGTCAGGATTGTAGCCAATTGTCTCAATGTAGGTACTGACTTCCTTAACAGTTTTCCTCAGATCTCTTCTGACTACAGAGCAGGTCTGTGAAATCCATTTGGTTGACATGAACAATTATCTGTTTCACACCCAATGTGTAAGCCTGAAGGGCATGCTCACTGGTCTGCCCATTCTTGAAGATACCAGCATCAAATTCACCAACACCAGCAGCAACAATCAGGACAGCACAGACAGCCTGAGATGTGCCCGTAATCATGCTTTTGAAAAAGTCTCTGTGTCCTGGGGCATCAATGATGGTCACATAGTATTTGCTGGTCTCAAGTTTCCACAGAGAGATGTCAATACTGATGTCACACTCACACTCAGCTTTAAACTGTCACTTGAATGAGGCTTTTCCCATCTCAGCAGCCTCCTTCTCAAACTTTTTAGTGATTTGTCTGTTGATCCCACCACATTTGGACATCAGATGATCAGTAGTGATGGATTTGCTGGAATCTACGTGTCCAATGGCCACAATGTGGTTAGTGTTAATGTGAGTCTTTTCCTTTCCAATGCTGGCTTCCAGTTAGCTGTGGTTTTCACAACACTTGCATTCTGACAGCAAATCCATTGTGGAAAAAGGAATGCAAGTGTTTTTAATCAATAAAATAGTATTTAACTAAAATTT